AAAAAGTCGCCATAAAAATAAGTAGTAAAGTAAAGTAAAAATATCAGAAAAATCTACTTGAGTACAGTAACGAAGTATTTGTACTTTGTTACTTCCCATCTCTGCCTGTCACAGAGTAGGGTCTTCTATAAATTACAACTTCAAGAATACCTGGAGTTTGTCCATATTTATGCTTAAAATTTACACAATGGCAACTCATAGTCTCACCCAGTCTGTAACCCAGACAAACTTGGAATAACAGGAAAGGCTTCCATCTGTGCTTTCGCCATCTAAAGAAACAACACTGCTTTGAAAGACACCGATTTTCATTGCATAATACTGCAACAGACTGTAACAGGTACTTTTGGGCAAACATTTTGTAGGACAAAGGATGTTGGACATGTTACACTGTCCAACATTCTGTTGTTGTTCCTTTTCTTTCCCCCTACAGGATCCCTTGGAGAATTACTTTAGACTTAATAGACATTAATAGTTTCAGTTTTACAACTCTCATACTTGGCAATACCATGACGTCACATGAACTGGAAACTATTGAAGAAATATTAAATTTTTTTATTATAAAAAATCTTTAAAAATGAACTAAGGTTTAAAATGGAATAAAAATAAGTGTGCCTCATCTGGCTAAAGTATTAGAACTATTTGACATATATTTGGAGTCACTGGGTCACATGACCTGAAAGCTATTGAAGAAATATCAATTATTTTTTATAATAAAAAATGTTCACAAACATAAAAAGGCTTAAAATTGAATAAAAATAAGTGTACCTTATCAGGCTAATGTAGTAAAACTATTTCACAAAGAATTTGAATCGGTAGGTCACATGACCTGGAAGCTATTGAGAAAATCTTAAAAATTGAAAACAGCTTAGAAGCAAGTGTGCTTTACATATGTTATCTATTGGCATGATTGTATATTAGTTTGGTCTTAACTGGTCATAAGATAAGGAATTTATTGATTTTTGTTACTCATGAGTGCTTGGTTTGTTGATGGTCCCTAAATGCACTACGGCGTGTGGGAGGAGGGAGCAGCTGAGAGACCAGACTAACATCGGTGTCTCTCAGTGGGATCAACCATTTACTAGATCCTGCTGACTCCGCGGCGCTTGAATATCCAATATCCAACTTCAAACCAACTTCACTGCGGTCGTTTATGATCCGGTTAAGAAGATGGCCGCTTTCTCCAGATTCTGAAAAACTACATTGTGAAATCTGTGTCCATGTGCGCTGCTAACTGAAACACACGGTCTGTCCAAACGAAAAATAATAAATTCAATACTTATTAGGTTAGTATTGTTTTTAAAAAAAAAGTTGCTAAATGTCTCAGCTCACTGATCACTTCATCATGTTAGTTGTGACTGTGGCCTGCTGCTGTTAACCAACCAATGGGCAGAAAGATGACCCTCTAAGACACACAACTCCTCATTTGCATAATGAGGCAGAGCTGCACACAGAAATGTAAATATGACAGGCAGAAATAAATAACATGGAAAAAATAAATAGCGTAAAAAAATAAAAAGGATGAATAAACCGGACAAAAATATTATAACATGCACAGAAACAAATATTTAAAGAAATACGTAATAAATAAAAAAAAATAAATACTTAGAATACATAAGTAATAAATAAAAAAAAGTTTAAAAGTAAAAAAGGATTATAAAATAGATTATAGAAGATTATATTAATAAATAAATAAGGTAATTATTACATAGGTGAAAAAACAAAGTAGCTACTTAAAAGAGATATATACATTTATGTCTCACTGTATGATTTAATTTCTATCTACATTTATTTGTTCATTGTATTTTTGGGGGGCAATTAATTGTATGCTTATTTATTTTTGGAGCATTTATTTATTTCTGTGTTTATTTTTAATTATGGCAGGATTGGTCCTCTGTATAGCACAAGAGTGTTTAACTGTGAATGCTAAGTTTATCCAATTAGCCAAACCCAGGTAGGAACTATCATACTTATTTTTACTCTACACCTATTTCCCTTTTCGCATATTTTACTCTTTCTTAATTGTTTTTTTATGCTGGTCTTAAATGTATTACTCAATGGATTACTAAATATTTGACTGCAATTTCCCTGTTGCATATAAATTGATGAAGCACTTGATGAAGGAAACGAATGAGGAAGGTTACTCAAGATATTCAGTATTTTAAGTCAGCAGATTCTGTAATAAAAAACATTAAAAATTCTAGCATTAAAAAAACCCACTACAAGATTACCGCCAGGACACAGCAAGAATATCTGCAATGCTGAATTGCATTTTAATGAAACAGTTGCAGGGTTATATTGCCGACTCCAGTGGGTCTCTGCTTGTTTTTATTTTTTTTTATTTTTACAACTTAGCAGCAGACAGGACGTTAAAGAGAACTGGGAAAGTCAAGGGACGTCAAGTGTCAGCTGTGGTAGGTAGCATAGTCACCTACCAGACACTATGGTGGGTTACATTTTATCTACTTTTTATTGTAATTTTCTCAAATATCATCTAAATCTAAATGTGAGTCTGTGACATCTCACATTAGCACTGCCTGTGCACACTGCTTACTCATTGGCCCGTCCTTGACTGATGTCACTTCAGCAACTTGTCCCTGTGGAGAACAAAGTCTTAAAGCTAAAACCTCAAGAAAGATGAAAAAGGAAGGCAGGAAAAAAAGCAGTTTAACTCACTGTTGGAAACTTAGTCAATACATTTAGCTACTTCTCTTTAGGTTCCTAGCAACAAATCAGGTGACTTTTTTCTGGGTTGTAGGAGAGCAGTGATGGCTGAGTTTAACGGTCTTTTGCAGCTAGGAGTGAAGGAGGGAGTCCCTCACTCCCCTGAAGCACTGAGAGGGAGTCGAATGCAGCTCTGCAGCCAGTACCTGCAGGCAGAGATAGAAGTGTTTATCCTCTTTTTCTCTAATTGGAAATTAGTTGTATATTTGCAAAAACTCCAATAAGCCCACTTAAAAGTAAGATGTTAATCTAATACTGATTGACTTTTTACTTCTTTGAAACTGTTGCATTTAATTCATGCACAGCCTCATCAACTGTGGGCCTCTGCTGTTTTAAAGATGAATTTAATAACATAAGATAAGTCGTTTTTGTTGAAGTAAAACATTATTGAAAGCTTAACATTACTTTATAGAGTTCATCTTTAGTGTTAAACATACTAAGTGTGTTTTTAATCACTTTC